GCGGCGGCGAGGGAGGGAGGTGCCGCTCCGCAGGCAGAGGCCACTCGCGGCCCCCAAAAGCCAGCCCCGGAGTCCCCGAGGAGGCGGGGGAGGCCGCGCCGGCCCCCGAGGCGCCCCTGCCCCAAGCCCCTCTCCTACCTCGCGGTGAGGGGAGCAGGGCGACTGCCAGTGAAGCCCGAACGACGCGGCGTTTTGGAGAATCTAAGACTGCGCAGGCTGAGTCGTTGCCACGCGCGGATCCAAGGAAACTGCTCCCACGGTCCTCCGCGCCGGGGGCGGGGCTGGGAGTAGAGGAGCAGGGCTGTTCCGCGGTCCCCGGAAAGAGAGAGGGGCGGGGACTGACGNAGTGGGAAGGAAAGGAAGCCGAGGTATTGTAAGTCGTGAAATCAGACAGAAAACAATAGTAAAGAATGACGCTAAGACACTATGAACTATCAGCCACTACTCTTAATATGTGAGCCTTTGAATTCCGCTTTCCGTGTGATCACCGACACACTTTGGTCACCCTATAAAATTACTCTCCAGAGACATCTCTCTCTCTCTGGGAGACCTCAGCTCCTCTTTCCTCTCGTCCTGTTTGCATTACCTGTTCCCACAGCCGCCCTGTGCAGACCATCAGAACTGTTCACTTACTCTTTTCTGGTGAGTGCCTTAGAGGAAAGAACTGAAACTGTGTCCCAAGCACCTAGATCCAGCTTCAGAGGAAAGCTTAAAAAATGGAAAATGAATGAGAAATTAAATTCATAATTGTTTAATAAAATTAAAGTTTGTTTTAAATGTCAAAAATAAATAGAGGAAGGGCAGGGGGAGTCTAAAGACACCAGTAATTAATGAGTTTTAAACATTAAGTTCATTTTGGGAGACAATTCTCCATGACTGTGTCTTGCTCTTGTTATGGACTATTGTGATGGTTAATTTAATGTCACCTGGACTAGTTCATGGTACCTAGTTTTCTGTCAAATACCAGTCTAGATGTTTCTCTAAAGATGTGTTTTTAGATGTGATTGATTAGCAGTTAGAACAGTAGACTCAGAGCCTGCTCGTAGCCGCTGCTGCCAGCTAAGTAAATCTCCAAACGCTCAATTTGATCTCTGTGTGAATTAGTCTTGCATAACCTGGGTATAACAGTATGTCTGCCTCCAGGAGCTCAAAGTTCAATAACAAGGTGGCTAATCTTCTATGATGTTAAAAACAGCTCAGCCTGTTCCTAGGACTGGAGAATGGTCAGCATTCCTGAAGCAAACCCCTGGAGGGGGTCAGGGTCTGGGCACAGCAGCAAAGTTAAAATGTGTCCTGTATTTTCTTTTCTGAGTAATGGACCCATCCGGGCTTTGAGGCCACCTTATCTTTTACAGCCCTGTTTTCCTTCTTGCAACACATCCTCCAGTTTCCCAGGATCTTTAAGAAAATCTCTTATCTATAGTTAGTAAAGTGAATAACCATTAAACAACTATGGTTCTATTCCTATTATGTGCCCTTCCCCCTATCGTTTTCACCTATTCTGCCCAGAAAAATACCATGAAATGCAGTAATTGCCTGTTAAATATTTAAAATTATCAAGACCTCCTTTTACCCTAAAAGTTAATAGCAAATGAGCCTGAAAACGCAGAGTGAATTTTGTTTTCCTTGTCTTTGGAATAACTGAGACCTGCTCTTTCCTGGGGCTAATGACACGACCGGTGAAACTTATAATCCTTTTTATACTTATTAGGAGGAGAATCACCACTCAGTGTCTTGAAAATAGGATCACTGAAGTTCCAGACCCTCTTTTTCTGTTCCTGTTAGTGTGACATGGCAGCAACTCATGCTCCTACCTGGGGGTTTTATCAGGAGCTCTCTTTGTGTTGAAATGTACAAGAAAAGGAATAATGAAACTTAATTTTGCATATTTTACATCAAATGGACTAGACTCTCTCGCTTCAGAGCCGCCTGGGTGAGATTCAGATTCCTGAATGTGAAAAACAGTGCTTTTTCAACTGGCACAGTCAAGTCCAGAGAAATCATTCTCATGGCCTTTGGGGAGAATCCTTAGACCCTGAATTGTGCATAGACAGTGTACTCACAGTTTAGCCAAAGGCTCATGCTTTGTGGTCAGGCTGGCAAGATTCTTTACTTGCAAGTTACAAATTAACTCTAACCTGCCAATAACTCTAATCTGTTCTAAAATAAATGGACATTGGACTGTGAATTACCCTAATGAAAGAGTCTTTGTTCAACCACAAAAAGCACAGTCATTAACAAGTTGAAATTAATATGTAATATGCAAGGAGGCATATGTGGTAGCATACGAACTAAACAAAGCACAGTTTAAATTCTAATTTATAACTAGGGTGTACTCACTGAAGTCCAAGCATTAATTTTACTGTATATTGTTTGCCAAAGAGGAAATGGTCAAGATACATAACAACTAAGTACTATCATGACTTTTAAAGGATGAAAGAGGCAAGCTCTTGGCCTTAAAGTAACTCAACTGAAAGATACGTGTAAAATTAAAATCAATGATATTAGCCACAAAATCACCCATGTATGCTAGTCACCAGTAAGTACAAAGCATTCAGTTGCTTTCCCTCTGATTTTCTTTTGAATCTCTGTTTTTGTCCTGGGTCATTCTTGCCACTTTAAATCAAGTTCTAAAATGCCACAATCATGCTCCTAACCTTATTACTACCAAAGATATTTAATGTATACAACAAAGAAGAGCCTAATAATTTAGTTGATATGTGTAAATGTCTAGAATTACCTAAGTTTAGCATAACTCTTCAATTTGCTTCTTTAAATTTTTTAAAAAAATACGTTTTTATTGATTTTAGAGAGAGGGAGAGAGAGATAGAAACCTCAGTGATGACAGAAAGCCATTGATAAGCAGCCTCCTGCATGCCCCCTTTTGGGGATCGAGCCCGCAACCAGGCATGTACCCTGACCAAGAATCCAACCATGACCTCCTGATTCATGGTTCCTAGGTTGATGCTCAACCGAACCACGCTGGCCTGGCCCTTCAATTTTCTTTTTAACTTTCCATCCCAGATGATAGTTTTTCAGTAAAAAACACGCCTTGGTTAATGGGATTTCAGAAGGATTTCTAATTATTGTGTTGAGCTTATCACTTTCTAGGTATAAGCAAAATTTCAGTTTCTATTCCCATCAGTTTTGCCATGAATTTGCAGGCATTTATACGATCTGCATTGAAAGCTGTCCACATGTTGGACCTCTCCTGCCTTTCTAACTTTATTTTCTTCAGTTAAAGAGAAATAAGACTCTGGGAACAAAGATGAAATACTGAACAAAGGTTTACTCTCACACAAGGATCCTGATCTAGGTCAGGGATGAGATGCTGGGAACTGGGCCTCTGTTAGGAAAGCAGAATCTCTGAGTTCTGGAGCTGTTGGGGCCAATGGTCTGGCTAGGTGTTGTATGAGCAAATTTCTGTGTTTTTCAGAAGGCAGTGTGTATTATGGGAGTGACATGCTCATTTTAGGATAATGGTGCCTCAGTTATGCTTGCTGCCTTCTCCCTCTCGGGATATCATCATGGTCATCATTATCATCATCATCACTAATAATTTCCCTCACTGTAAACCTCTGGAGATAGGGCCATGCCTTACATTTCTTCATCCCCCATGGATGTATAAAATACATGTTTATCCAGTCCACTATCGAAAGGCACTTTGGTTGTTTCCACTTCTTGGCCACTGTGAATAATGCTGCAATGAACATAGGGGTGCATATGTCTTTGCGAATACATGTTTTTGAGTTTTTGGGTATATACCCAAGAGAGGGATTGCGGGGTCGTATGGTAGCTCTATTCTTAATTTTTTGAGGAATCGCCAGACTGCTTTCCATAGTGGTTGTACCAGTCTGCATTCCCACCAGCAGTGAATGAGGATTTCCTTTTTTCCACAACCTCTCCAACACTTGTTACTTCTTGCCTTTGTTGGTAATAGCCACTCTAACAGGTGTGAGGTGGTATCTCATTGTAGTTTTCTTTTTTTTTTAAAATATATTTTTATTGATTTCACAGAGGAAAGGAGAGGGAGAGAGAGAGAGAGAAACATCAATGACGAGAGAGTCATTGATTGGCTGCAGCCCACAACCCGGGCATGTGCCCTGACCGGGAATCGAACCCCGATTGCCTGGATCATAGGTCGATGCTCAACTGCTGAGCCACGCCCAGCCGGGCTCATTGTAGTTTTGATTTGCGTTTCCCTAATTGCTAGTGAAGTTGAACATCTTTTCATATATCTATTGGCTGTTTGTATGTCTTCTTGGGAGAGGTGGCTGTTCAGGTCCTCTGCCCACTTTTTGATTGGGTTTTTCGTTTGTTGTTGAGTTTTAGGAGTTCTTCATATACTTTGGAAATGAAACTTTTTGTCAGAACTACTGTTTGCAAATATCATCTCCCATCTGTTTGGCTGCCTGTTTGTTTTGTTGTCAGTTTCTTTTGCTGTGCAGAAGCTTTTCAGTTTGATATAGTCCTGTTTATTTTTGCCTTTACTTCCCTTGCCTTTGGGGTCAAGTTTGTAAAATGTTCTCTATCATCAAGGTCCATAAGTTTGGTACCTGTGTTTTCTTCCATGTAACTTATTGTTTTGGGTCTTATGTTTATATTATGCTAAGTGAAATAATACCGTCAGGAAAAGCCAAGAATCATATGATTTCACTCATATGTGGGATATAAAACTGAAACTCGTGAACACAAACAGCCAGAACGAAGGGAGCAGGGGTGTGGTGGGTAAAGGGGACCTAATATATGGTGACACAAGATGATTTGACTTTGGGTGGTGGACACACAGTGCAATATACAGATCTTGTAACATAGAAACTCACACCTGAAATCTATGTGATCATATTAACCAACGTCATCCCGATAAAGTTAATTAAAATAAATAAATTAAAAGTACATCTTTTTCTTGTCTTTGATTTTTCAACTATCAAAAGAAAATTGGAAGTTTTTGAGAAAAAATACTCAAAAGATTTTACGTGTAAGAAAATTACAGGCAGCTTCAGTAAGATTTTGGGGCCTACACATCCTTTTATCCAACCCATAAAGCTTGCTTACCTGAGTCCAAACTGTATTTAATAACTCAAGCTCACTTATGTTGAGTATAATAGCTAACAATAACCATGACATTAGTGATTAATAATTATTATATAATAATATAATTATATGTAATTACATAACCACATAGAATAGTTATATAATTATAACATTAATGATTAATATCATATAACTTTTGTGATAATAACCAATTTAACTTAATAAAACATATTTATGCTTAGTCTAAATTACATTTAATAATTCAACTTTTCTTTCCAAGTTCA